GGAAGGTTTCCAATGTTTGGAGGAATGTTTCACCGCCGCTACTCACAAACAACAACAAAATGACTTCGTAAAATATCGGTATGCCTGAACCATCCAACTTCTCAATTCGGCTGCCGATAAAAAGAATGTTTGTGAAACGGGCACAATACGCGATTCTGTCGTCACTTATGATTCTCATTCGGAGAAAGTGCCACATTTCGTCTTTTTTCGAATTTAGCAGGAAAACCCTTCAGGCATTCTACACGCGCCACCTCCCCAGTTAAATACCTTGTTGCCTGAATCCAAAGTATGCCATCATTGGCACATTTACCTCAACGAGAAGATTTATCTGATACGTGGATCCTGTAGCGCTGCTCTCACCACTTCCGATCGAAACGTTAACGTACCATGTGCTTCGTGGTGTTCATCATTTCCATCGTACTGTCAGCCGGCACCTTTATGAGGCAAGCTGGAGGCATGGCTCATACTGACGTGTGTAAGCTCGAGAAACAGGACGCAGGCTACATTGACCTCCCGAACCGAGTCGATAGTCACTACTTCTACTGGTACTTTGAGTCGCGCAACAAGCCAAACACGGATCCATTGCTGGTGTGGCTTCCTGGTGGACCTGGAATGGGCGGTACTTATGGAATGCTGGCCGAGAACGGCCCGTTTACCATTAATACCGATCTTTCCACGAAGATAAACCCATTCTCGTGGACGGCACAAGCCAACATGGTATGGGTGGACATTCCTGTTAACTCCGGGTTCTCGTATTCCCCAGTCGCTGAAGACGACGAGCTTACGGATGAACGCGTAGCCGAGAGCGTATTCTGGTTTCTCCAAGGCTTCATGAAGAAGCATCAGGAGCTGCAAGGACGAGAACTTTTCTTCGTGGGCGAGAGCTACGGAGGCCATTTCGTGCCTTCAGTGGCCCACTACATTTGGAAGAAACAGGGAGAACATCTCTTTTCCCCTGCCTCCCCCGATACCATCCCGATAAATCTCCGAGGTATCGCGATTGGCAACGCCCTAACAGACCCGGTGGAAATCTTCGGTCATTTTGTCGACATGGCCGATAATCCGTACAGCATTACTCTCTTGAATGAAACTCAATTGGCGGCGATGCAAGTGGCATCTCCGGTATGCCGAAGTTTAGTGACCGAGTGCCAAACGAACACGTCGCGGTGCGCAGAAGCTGGTTCGTTCTGCATCAGTACACAGTGGATTCCGATGTTTGGAGAGCTCTGGGATCCTTACGATATTCGTCAAAAGTGTGATACTGCAGTCTCGAATATGAGCGCTTGTATGCCCAAGGTACCAACAACAAAAGGATATCTAGATTTACCAGACGTGCGTGGATTCCTTGGAGTCCATCCAAGCCGTCCCGAATGGATTCAACTCAACGCTACTATCAATTCTGGCTTCTTTGGGCCGCCTGCTTACTCGGGACTCCTGTCCGTGGGGGATAAAGTAGCTGAACTACTGAATGCAGGACTACGCGTGCTGATGTATGTTGGCGACGCTGATCTGCTGTGCAACTTCTACGCCATTGAAGCCACAGCAAAGAAACTCAACTGGTTTGGGGCTGGCGGATTCAATGCAGCAAAAGCGCGTTCGTACTCAACTGCCTCTGGGATTAAGGATGCTGGTACTATACGATCGTTCTCCCACCTGACGTATGTGAAAATACACAATGCAGGCCATATGGCACCAGGGGATCAACCTGAGGTCGCTCTTGACATGATCTCCAAGTTCATTGGAAGCAAAAAATTTTAGGTTTCGCTATTCGGTGGCAAACATTTGTAGTGTCAAATCAGAACAAGGAAAAACGAAGTTAATGGAAACTTTGTATCTCTCCAAATTATACTGGGATAGCTGAAAGTCTAAAGCTGAGGCCGGCTCAGTAACTGAGCCGGTAGCTGAGAATCTGGTATAGTACGCCAATTCCAGAAAATA